CATGCATATACCACAGACTTACACACTTATAATAAGTAAGTTACTTTTTGTCTACACTAGAATTTATCTAGAAACTAGAAATAATTTATAAGGCAAAACAACGTTTGTCGGGTTATCTAGTAATAATATAAATAACACTGTGCGATAAAAATTTGATCTTTTCTTTTTTGATTTTAAGTTAATTTGGGTTGCTAAGCTCAAATCTACAGTTTTTTTAGATCTATAGATAGAGTTAAATAATTAAACAATTTATTTATTTTGAAAGATACCAATTTTAACAAGGTAAGCATTTCTGTTTTAGATATCCTTCACCAAATTCCCTTTCTTCACTCCCATAGAAGGGAGTGTCAATTCATCTTTTAAATGTAGCTATGTAAAAATAAAGCATTTCAAGAAACATTTCCAAATTCTGTACTTTACATTGTGACCGAAAAGTTTCCGGAAAATTTTAAATAAAACGCAAAATTCTTAATCTTCATCAATATTTATTTTATCTCCTTCAAAATATGCTCCCATTAGAAGCGATACACAAATGCCAACGTTTCTGTCCAAATCATCAAAACATTTTTTAATAAGGTCGCTTTCCGGTATGGCTTTGAGTTCCCTCTGCGAATTCTGTTTTACGTCTTCTATGGATTCAAAACGCGTTCCTCTGAGTGGTAATTTGAGGTTGGGAAACAGGAAAAAGTCACACGGTGCAAGATCAGGTGAATACGGTGGCTGTTCGATGGTATTTATTGAATGTTTGGCCTTAAAATCGTTGATAATGTTGAACAAATTGAGGTGAATCGGAACAAGCCGGGCGTTGACACGTCGCATACACAAATTGTCCACCAAAATCAAACGAGCCATCTCACGACCGATGCCTAGCTCTCGTGCTATCTCTCTAACACTCACATGAGGATTTTTGAACACGATTTCCTTTGCCTTTTCAATGTTTTCGTCGGTGGTAGAGGTCGAAGGTCGTCCAGAACGCGGCATGTCTTCGACGGTCGTACGACAGTCCTGAAAGGCTTTGTACCACTCATAAACTTGAGTTTTCGATAAAACTGATTCCCCATAAGCCTTTTGTAGCATTCGCAACGATTCTGCACACGAAATTTCGTTCGAAAAACAAAATTTGATGCAAACTCTTTGTTCAATATTTTTTTCCATTGTTTTTTTCGCAACGCACTACTGAGGTGAACTGGTTTCAACAGCTGCCGTAAACGAACTGGTCCTGACAGATCGCGCTCATTTTTGGCATAGTAAATTAAGGAGCAGTGCTGCCAAACTACATAAACTAAAATATCGAAAAATATACAGCGCGCGAATTTTAAATGAGAATTTCCGAAAGCTTTTCGGTCACAATGTAGATAAAAAAGAAGAAAAATTAGGGAAAATATCTAAAAGGTAAAAATAGTTATCTACATATGTATTCGAAATAATTTAAAAATAAAATAGAAATAAAATCTTTTATTAAACTAAAATTAATAAGTTTTTGGTTTTTGAAACCTCAATTTTTGAACTTCAACCCGTTATAACTACAGGCCCAGTTGTTCAGGTGCAAAACGGGTTGCAAATGTGAGCTCAACAGCCCATAATTTAACTAATGGCATCGCATTAAAAAGAAAACAACTTTTATTTACTTAATGAAATAATTATTTGAAAAGTTAAATAGCCTAGACATATTTTCGCAGGCCCTCAAATGTATAATACTGAAGGTAGCCAAAGACCCGTGCATTCACACAAGACGAGTACATTAACAACACAAATAGAAGTCAAACAATGACTTTATGGGAAGTACTTGGGTGATATTATCGAAAGACAACTAAAAGAGAGGAATGAAACATATTTGTTAAGATCATATATTCTTTGTAGAAAGTTTTAAGGATTTAATATATTATTTAGTTTCAACTACTCATTTGTGCATTTTTAAAATGTTATTCTTTAGCTAAAAGCTGTAACTTCCTGCAATTCTTACCAGTGCGTCATATTCTGAAAACCACACCAGTAATACAAATTGACTCACAACATCTTATTGTCGTTTTAAAAGTCACTTTGTCTAAAACTAATATGGATTTATAAAATAATATTGAGCAAAACCATTAGATTCATTAGCATTGAGATTAATCTCTCCGAGCCTAGCGAACGGCTAGGCAAACAATGTTTCAGACATGGTCAGTTCTTACAGTGTGACTTCTTCAATCTAATGTTGGAAACGATAACCCAAACAGTAAATTTCAACTGCATTGGCAGAATATTTCACAAAAAGTTGATGCTGATCCCATATTCCGATGATATTAATATTGTTTTCCTGAACACCGACGCGGTCATTGCGGCTTTTTCCAACTTAGAAAAATAAGTGAAAAAAATGTGTCTCATGGCTTGGTCATTTCGTGCGAATGAAAGAAAGTGCATCGACTAGAAAAGTATCTGATTCAGTACCCACTGGTCGAAAAAGCAGTAGAGAACATCAACTTCTTCGTTGGAACAACGAAATGAACAACAATATGAAGACACTTGCCACTACCAGTTAGTGACAACTAACCACTCCTCGAGCTGGTTAGCGGCAGATACTTCAGAGACGCAGCTATTGACGACTCACATTTGTAATAGCAAACTAAGTGAATAAGTAAGATAAGCGATATTACACAATTTTCTCTTGTAGAAAATAAATAAATTTTAGAAAAACGAAAAACTATTATTTTGTTACTCGCACATCACAAGTTTTATGAAGAAATCAAAATATATTGCTTTATTATTTCACTTTAATCAACTTAATGAAATCATCAATTCAAAATCTTCAACTACAGCCATAAGCATATTAAAATATAAGCCTCACCATAGAATATAGCTATGGAATGAAGTTTTAATGCGTTTTAAACTTTCTATTTCCAAAATATATTAACTGCTGCCATTCGACATTTGCAACATTTATTGCTCGATTAATACTTAATCAAACTTATGACTGCTTTAATGATTTCATTTTCTTTGATAAACTTCGAATTGATCAATATTATTTTCACAAAACTCTGGTGCCACACACAGATTCACAGATGGCCTCGTGCAGAGCCATAGCCTCAACAATTTTTCAAACATTAAAAGATTTTCTTCTTCATCTGTTACCAAAAAGTTGTACATCTATTTTCATCTATGTCCTATGTGCCTATGAAGGCACCTTTTCTTCTTCTTCGTCATTTTTACTCGATTGCCAATAAACACTTAACAACGCCAACGCTTGGGCGATATCGGGAGGAACGAACCCTCGGACGAATTTTAAACTCCAACCACACGAAAACTGTTTTCATTTTAGTTAAATTAACAACTAAATGAAAAGATAGCAGATAAGAAGAAGAAGAAGAAGTAGCGAATTCATTAATAGCTTCCAACGAGCGCCGTGCGCCGAGCGCCAAAAAGAAAAAAATAGTCGTAAAACTAATAAAGCAAATGTCAAATGAACGTCAAAGTGTGCTTTAAAGCAGCGAGTGAAGCCATTCATGTTTTTCACTTAAAATGGCAGCGAAGAATGTTGCGCGCATAAAACGTGCCAAAAACGTTCAAAATATTTCCAAAGCAAAAGGAATATTACGGAAATGAAGACGAAAGGAAGGAAGTGAGAATTTTTACGAACTTCTACGATGAATTTATTTGTATGTACGCTTGCAGTATGTATACACTGTACAGTGAATGTATACGTGTGTGCGTGTGTGTGTGTGTTGTTATGTTTAAAAGGAGTTACAGCAGTCAAGTTTCTGCTGTCGAAGATGTTCTCTGATGTTTTCGATGTTGTTGTGTTTTAACTGCTTTTATTACTACTGTTGTTGTTGTTGTTTTTATTGCTGCTGCTGTTGTGTTGTTGTTGTTGTTGTTTTATTATTACTGTAACTGTTGCCGTTCCTTCAACAATCAAGATAACTTTAATGATTCATTTGTTTCTCGATGTAAAAATTCTTTCGTACAATTTTTTTCCTATCTCTCAAATTATGCGTTAATAAATTTATTGTATTTTTAATTTTTTTATATTATATTTACTTTTTTTTTATTTTTGTTTTTGAAACTTTTTTTTTACTTTGTAAAGTTGGTTTTTCTTTACACTTTTTTTTTGTCATTAAAGTAGCTTGGCGTGAAAGATTAGATTTATGGCAAAAAGCGAATATAAAAGTTTTACAATTTTCCATATTTTTTATCCACATCATAATAAAAATAATAACAAATTATGATTAAAAAAGGGTATATGTTGTAAAGTAATGTTGTTGTTATGTGAGTGTTGCCATCATACAATAATTATATGCTTCACAACACCACACTTCCCGTATTCTCTCGATGTTTAGCCGACCCCATTCGTTAATATTCTAACATTCTTTTATTAATTATTTCAGTTTAACAAGATGATTTTTAAAGAAAACTACACCTTTTATAAAGAAGTACAAAAAAAAATCAATCTGAACGATTTAAAAGCATATCGAAGGAATAAATCGTTGGCCTAGATATCCTTCATGATGTCAGTGTAAGCTTTTCGGATGAGTTCTGTATGCATAAAGCTATTTGCCTACCTTGGTAATTGCACTTTCCGGTAATGTTAAAAGCCACAATGTGAATATAAAGAGTAGTTGACAATTAACATACGATTTGTAAACAAGAAATCAGTCATAGTATTGATCGATCAGAATAAACATTATCGTATGATTTTGGACGATATTCTACTCAATAAAACTATTTGCTTTCCTGAATAATTGCACTTTTCGGAAATAGTAATAGGCGCACTATATCTGCTCAAATAAATTTAGAGAGCGTTTGACTATAACAAATAATCAATCATATTGCCAATTGATGAGACTGTCCAATATCGTGCGACTAACATCAACTTCCTTTTGGACTATATTCCGCTCGATTTCTGCGGAAATCATGTGCAATTCGGAAATAATAATAGTTGCCGTACATCTGCTTAAATAAATACAAAGAACGATTGAGTATGAAAAATATTCGGTTATAGTGCCAATAGATGAGAGTACCCAATCTCGTTTAACTAATTTTAAGTTCTGGGGTACGACCTAATAAATTAATATTATTAATAAACTAGGTTATTGGATCCAACACAGCTTAAATGAACGTCAAATGAAAAATTCTGAAGTCACTTCTGAAATACTGCTTTTACACCAACGAAAGAAAATTATTTATGACGGGTGACCATTTTTTATTCACATTTAGATATCAAGCAAATGTACATATTTTTTTATATTATCTGTAACAAATATATCAAGCAATGTTAAGAAGTATTTTACCGAAAAAAAAAATAATTTAACAGGTTGTATTAGTAGAGAGAAAATGTCCATTTAAAGACATCTATAGTACATTCTTATGCAAGTGAAAAACTAGACACTCTAAATCTTATTTATATTAGTGTTAAATTTGTTATTCGATCTACTTTGGTTATATCTGCTAGATCAAAAAATCCACTTTTTTCTCTATTATAATTATAATATTATAAACTATTTTGGTTTTTCGAGATTTATCTTCCTGAATTTATATTAGTAGTCGCTACCTTAGATAGAAACTTCTATTGGAAGACATCTATTGCACATTCTCATGCAATAGATGGGAAGCGAGAAATACTAAAACTAAATAAATAAGTAACACTGAACTTATTTTTATTAGTATTAGGTTTGTTAAATCACTCAAGTCAAGAAGATTTGATAAGTCAACTTTCGTTATCATTGTTAGGCCAAAGAATGTACTTTATTCACTATTATAATTATTATATTATAAAATATTATAAACTTTATTATAAGCATTAGTCTTAGATTTTAGATCCTAATTCATCTTAATAATCTCTAATTTGAAGAGAGATTTATCTGTATGTAATTTTAAGCTTTTTTGGTTTAAAAGTAGAAAAAATTGGCGCATACCCTTACCTTTTTTGACAATTGGGTTATGTCTACTGGTGTAACGCGGTTTAAGGCAGCCAAACGCTGTAAACGTTCTCGTGCATGTTCCTCCACAGCAATGACGAAGGCGTCGTGCACAGAATTGCCAATGTCCCAAGCTGCAAACAAAAAATGCAATAAAAATTTTAAATGTGTATAACATAAATTTAAATTTTCACATATATTAAAGGGAATTGCAATAAATAATTTCAACTGGGGAAATAGGCGAGAACCTTCAAATTGACATTTCCGGTTCGAGCAAAACCGACAAACACAATGAGAGTTGAAAATGTAGTTGAGAGTTGGATTAAATAATAATGCTCTGTTCTTTGTAAATATTTTTGTTCATAATTTAAAGTAAAAATTATAAGTACAGTAAAAAAGATGAAGTAACAAAAAGTGTATGAAATATTTATATTCATACTTTTAAGTATAACAAAAAACAATTTGAAATTGGAATAAAATTTCTATTAAAAACGCTAATTCGAATTATTTTATTTTAAGCAATTTTATCCCTTTTGCTAAAGTAATTAACCCCCAACTATATTACTGTATTCATTATGCAAATTAAGCCATTTTAATTACCTACACTTAGCCTTCATTTGTAATAGAAACGAGGGCCAAGTCATCTTGAAATATCTTAAGCGAAATCAAGTTGAGGCAGCTAATCGGGTTGGTCAACCAATTTCGTTGTGCTCTTTATTTCGAATTTACTATTTCAATATAGCAGCGTTAATGCTAATGTCAAGACTTTCTTCATGTTACATTATTTATTATTATTTATTGTAACATTTCATGTTGCCAGACATAATTCTAACTCCACTCAACTCTGCCGCTATACTCTGTCGCATTCTATACCGCTCGACACCATTCAGCTTAGTTCAGCTCAGCTCAACTCAACTCAAGTCAACTCAAGTCAAGTCAATTCATTTTATTGTATTTTATTTTATCAAGTAGGACGCTATTTTCGCAACAAAAGATACTGTCGCTGTCATGTTGGCTTCTGGTGGCTGTGCTGTATCCTTTAACAAAGGCCAACTAAGCCTAAACAAGCCGAAAGGTCAAAAGAGAATAAGTAACCAGAAAGAATTTCCAATTGACTTTCATTTGATTGCTTCGCGTTTACTTTATAGTCAGGGGACGAATTCATTTCAGAAACTTCTTCTTAAGATTCTTTCCATTGGTGTGTACTATACACACGCTGCTTCTTCTTATGCTGCTTCTTATTATTATTATTATTGCTGTTGTTGTTGTTGCGATTTGTTGTTGTTGCAACTTGTTTTTGTTGCAAATCTTGATGGTGTTATTTTTGTTTCTTGAAGAGTTGTTTCATTTGTAGCACAAGAATGTGGCAACACTGGTTTCACAATATCAACTGTTCCCGTTCTGCTTATTGCGTTTGGTATTTATTTTGTTATTTTTATTTTTTTTTTTTTTTTTGAGTCTTAATAATATTTTTCTCCATTCCTTGATTTCCTTGCTATACTTTTCTCTAATATTTTCTTCTCTCCTTTCATATTCATTAGGGGATTTCTAAAGTATTTCAATTGGGATTTTTCATCATTGAATGGAGTTGACACAATTTCTTTTATTTGTAATAATTGACTTGATTTAAGGGTCATTTCTTTTATCTTGACAAAAAAATATGCGGCGGCATACTTGTAGATTAGAAAACTTTTCAAGGCATATTTCATTGTAAGAGAAATTACTCACAAAAAATATTTCTGATAATATTTAAGAAAAAGGGCATAATGTCCTTTAAATGAAATTCTGTTAAAATTCGGCTAATGTGTAGATTAAGGATTTTTCGGTTGAATTATTACTGAAAATTATATAAAAATGCGTAGGCAATTTTAGTAGAATATTTTTTATTTTTTTATATGTTTATCTTGAATGAACATAAACTTCATATCAAATGTTTGAAGTTATGAGTTTATTTGATTTTCCTTAATTATAGATTTAGAAAAGACGATATTATTAAAAGCAGTTACATTAAATATAATTTTATTATAAATTTAATATATAAAGACTTATAATTTTCTTATTTGTAAGTCATTTTATTTTTATATTCATATACCGTTCTATAATGGACATATTTAACAAATCAGTAAGAGACCCCAAATAAAACTATCCATTATCCATGTATAAAAATTTATTTTTTGTGTATTTTTGATATAATATTATTTAACAGATGTACTGAAAAAGTTACGAAAAGACCCTAAAATATCCTGTATCAAAGTTTAAATAAAATAATCAATTTTAAATTATATGAGAATCGAAGATTATATGAGACCACTAAAACCACCTTTTGGGAATGATTCGTAGAAAGATATACTATACAACCATATACTTAGACCATTCAGTGTTTAGTCCTTCAGTTTCACTCACGCACGCAGTCAGTGATCAATATAATTCAAATTTAAATATTGCGTCTTTAGAATTCTCAATTTTCAGATGATAACACTGTTTCCAGTTGCAACCTGGAAAAAATTGCAGTAAAAAGAATTAGTACCTACTAAGTACTACTATTCTTATATAAAGTAGTCTTACAGATTTTCCTATATTATACTTTTGCGGAGATTGGAACTACAAGCATTTTTAAAGCCGATAGAGAGCAATCACTCAATTTTGATGATGTCAGCGAGTTCACAAAAGCCATTGGGCTTTTCTGAAATCGAACCGAAGATAAATTTTTATTTATTTTTACACCTCTTCAAGAGTTACAAAGCGTTTAGTGCTTTCTGTTATTGCATGACTGTATGATTCGCTTGGTTTTAGTGGTCCTTTTATATCAAAGGTAACTATGTTTTTATAGTGTATGTGGAAATACAGAAACTGAATTGGGACGAGAGCCTTCCGAATCAACTACATACTGCGTTGTAGACTAATCTCTACAATCGTCTTCATATAATTCAAAAATTGGAATTTCCATGTTGGCTACGCATTACTCGAACTAACATGCCTTCTGTGATGCTAGTTTGCGAATGGTATTTGCATCTATGTAATTTAGAATTATCTATGTAATAATTCTAATTTTTACGTCTGCCAATTTGCTTTGTTCAAAGTCTCAAGTAGTACCTTTGAAAACATTGATAGTACCAATATTGGAATTATACGCCGCAGTTTTATTATTATTAGTTTTAGTGATTCATTACATCTCAACGTTAACTATATTATTTTACTGAAAGTCATTCTTAGTCTCACTCATCTATAGAGTTGTTCTGAATCAGATCTGAGCTGTCTTCCTTCAATGTATTCGTAGCCAATCGAGTGAGCAAAATTCAACATTTCAGATCTTTCTTTTTTGAATACTTTGTAATTCATTCCGGCTTTTAGTTCTTCAAACAAGTACTACGCAAAAGTCAATATCTACTTTATACTACACTTGATATGTTAATAAACTATATATTTATTTATATATTAATATTTTTTAATTTTTAAAAATTAAAAAGTTCTAAGAACTTAAGTGCGACTTTATACACAAAAATCGCTACTTCAAATTGTAATGACATATTATATATAACACATACCTAATAATATTTAACATATATAATATAATTAAATTAGTTTAATAAAGAAATTTAGCAGATAATTTAAAAACACATAAAAACTGGATTATATTTTTACTAAATAATTATTTACATCCAAGTTAAGTTGGACTAAAAACAAATTTAATATGAAAAACAAATAAATAATGCCACAATCTATAGTTGAGGTGAGAAATTATATTAATTTATAGTCGTGCATTAATTAAATCTGGATTATTAGCACAAGATAGAAATCAGTAGAGTAGAGTTAGTGTGAAAAATATTTTCAGATGGCAACAATCTATTCAAAAAAAAAAGAATTAAATACTCGTAAGCTCTGAGCCGGTTTTCTCGTCTGAACTAATTTTAAAGTTGCTCGTGTAAAAATTCTATTAATTTCTTCTTATTGCTTTTAACAATAATTTTTAAAAAGCTATTTAATTAGCATGAATTAGCAAATAAAATTGTTAAAATTTTTATTGATTTTTAATTTTTTTTATATTTAGCATTGTTATGTGAAACATAGCAAGAATTGAAAGTTTTTTTGACATTATTTTTTTCTTTATACATAAATTAATTTTAAAGAAATTTCATTACGTATATTTTAATCTGGTATATCCAAAACAATTTCTAACAAAGTTCAGCATATAGTAGAGTAAATTATATATTTATTTTATGTAATTACTTAGACTTAAAAATAGAAATAACAAAAGTAAATTATTTAGTTAATATATTAATTAAGTCAAGTACGACTTTGGGTCAATTGACTAATGAACACTGACTTTTAGTTTCAAATTTGACAGAGCACGACTTCAACCCTTGGTACTTGCAATCAAAAAAAATTATTGACAACTAATAGAATAATAATAGAAAAGAATTGATTTCAAAAGACCACTGATAGTTGTTATTTGGCAATACTCAAAACAGCTGTATGGTCAGTCAAAAATTCATTTCATTAAAAATAATAAAAAAATTTTTGTTATTGTAGTTCATTACTCTTCGCTGTCTTTCTCTCTACTTTGACTCTCTATCAAGCACCACAGTTTACCACAATTTGTTTTTAAAATCAATTATGAAGGTACTAACTAGTATTTTTAATAGAGTAATAATAATAATTAAGTACACGAAATAATTCCAAGACCACTGATAATAGATATTTGGCACTACTTGAAACAGCTATATGATCAGCCAAAAATTCAATTAACTAAAAATAATAAAAAATTTTGTTGTTGCAATTACACTATTGTTCGGTAACAATTTCTCTATAGAAAACAAACGTTTATATTAAGAATTCGGTTTCTTTCACGGACATTAATAATCAAATTAATATAATAATACGGTTTCTTTTGTTTGTTTTTAATTGAATTATTTTTTAAATTCAATTATAGAATACTCAAATATAGTACTTCTAAAAACTTCTTTAAAAACTTCAAAATATTAAGTTGATTTCTACACAGTTCCCAATCCATTTCTATTTTATCTAAATTTATATGTTTATTTTAACCATATACATTTTTTTTGCTTAAATAAAACATAATGAGCATTTATAAGGAACTTTTATTAGACATACTACATTTTTATTTAACAAATTA